GCTCGAGTTAGCTCAGTCATTCATGATACTATCACGTCAATCTTCAAGATCCTACATCAAGTCCAGAAGGTCATTAGGGAGGCATTCTGTGTCATAAAATAGTTGGTCAATGTAGGTATTTGCTGAGCGACAGCCAGCCTTGCTCCATGTCTAGGTGTCCAGATCAATAGATCACTCGCGAGTTCTTGTTTTGCTCGTCAGCAGTGTCCTGCAAAGCGCAATGCGTAAGATTGTAGAAACATCAGGGACCCGTAAATGGAGCTGTGATTTAGTGAGACGTTGTCTCCAAGATATGTTAAGCTGATATGTCACGGAAAGGGATATTTTTGAACGAAGTAGCTAAGTGGTTTTGGCTACTATAACCAAGTAGAATACGGTAGCAGTAATCGACTGGTACGCGTCGTAGTCGCAGGTAAGAAGTGTAGATCAATGGCGTAGTCCAATGGGCGTCGTTATAGACTTAGCTCTCAGACTAAGGCTCTTTGACTCTCCTACACGTCCGTCGGTATTTATGACGGACACCAGCCAATCATATTCCAGTGAGGTGGAACACAGGTGTATGCATATTCCATTATATCAAATTTTATTATTATTATTATTATTATTATTATTGATATGTCCCGGATAGGGATATATTTAATCGAAGTCGCTAAGTGGTTTCGGCTACTATAAACAAGTAGAATACGGTAGCAAGTAATCGACTGGTACGCGTCGTAGTCTCAGGTAAGAAGTGTAGATCAATGGCTTAGTCCAATGGGCGTCGTTATAGACTTAGCTTTCAGACTAAGGCTCTTTACACTGTCGTAGCTACACATCCGTTGGTATTTATGACGGACACCATCCAATCATATACCAGTGAGGGGGAACACAGGTGTACGCATATTCAATTATATCATAAGCAAAGCTCTCAGCATCCGACTGTAGGCTCCATCAAGCTTAGACTTAGGGTATATTTAATGTCCAGGCCGTGACACCATACATTAACACCGCCTCTACACTGGCTCGAAAGATTCTCCGTTTGAGATCGTCTGTTAGGTGAATTCCAGATTAGATCCATTTTATTCAAGGCGGACAAGGCTTTAGCTTTGCGAAGTTTTACATAAATGGAAATGACGTGGAAGCTGCTAATAAAGAAAGAAAGACAAATGGCAAAAGTGGTTGAAACAGAATAGAAGCTTGCTTGCGTTATTTACATTACTCGGACTGTTATCCTCATCTTCATTGCCATATTCACAACATTTCCTTCAGGACACATGGCTCAGTGGATAAAGACGTTGGTTAAATCCAGAGAGATGTTAGTTCAATAGCAGGCTACAGCAGTTGGGAGAGTTGAGTTAAAAGGGAAATAAACGACACATCCGGAAGAGGCATGGCACGTGAAACTAGAACAATCTACCCCGGTGGACGAAATAAAGGGTTCGACTCGAAATTCCAATTACCCGAAGAAAGCCGGAGCGTACAACGGCCGAAACGTGGTGAATATGGCAATGAAGATGAGGATAACAGTTCGAGTAATGTAAATAATGTAAGTAATCATAATACTTCATCTCAGAGATATAGTTCAAAATTCCAATCACCTGAAGAAGGCCGGAGCATACAACGGCCGAAACGTTGTGAATATGAAGATAACAATCCAAGTAATGTAAATAATGCAAGCAATCATAATATATCATCTCAGAGATCTAGACTGATAAAAGAGAAAATTTAATGATTGCAATCAGGCCCGAGAAGCAGCAGTACTTATCAAGAGACAGGTTTAAGATTCTTCACACAGAATTGTCCTCGTGAGTTAAAGCATCGCTTCTTGTCGACATAGTAATTGCTAGTTCAATCCCTAGACCAGGCAGTGTGTGCGAGAAATAACAGCAATATAAGCATAAGAACTAAACGAGAGATCCGTAGATATGGGCAGTGGAAAGAGAACGATCTATCCCTGTTGATTAAATAAAGGATTCTGTTCGAAATTCCCTATAGTTTACCTGGATCGACATGTCGATGGGCACAACGATTTAAACGTTGTGATGACAACAACAAAGTTGGGGACAATAAACCGCATTTAAAGAATGTAAATAAACACAATTCAATATTACTAAGCTAGTAGAAACGTTAGTATTCTTGAATACACCATAAATTAACATATTTAACAAAATTTTAATTTTTTTTGTTTTCTTTTGTCTTTTCTTTTCTTTTTTGCTTTCTTTCGCTATTTATTTATTTATTTATTGAGATATTTAAGCCACCCTGACGTCATTAGTGCAGTTGTTTATGCTGGAGTCAAGTTTGAAAACAATTGCTTATAAAACGAATCGAGTTTTCCCAACGGTGTTGTCTTTTCATAATTTTTTATCAGCTGTGCTGTGCCCTGCAGACGTCTGTTATCATCACAACCCCCCACCCCCCGAGGAAGGCTGGTTTGGTTTAGATTGGTTTATTTTGTTTTACGGCATATCAAACTCAATGGGTTATTTAATGCCAAGATTTTTAAGATAGATTCGTATGACCAGAATATGTATTCTTTGGTTTAGATTGGTTTGGTTTATTTTGTTTTACGGTATATCAACCTCAATGGGTTATTTAATGATGATAACATTTTTAGGATAGATTCGTATGAATAGAATATGTATTCTTTGGTTTAGATTGGTTTGGTTTATTTTGTTTTACGGCATATCAACCTCAATGGGTTATTCAATGCCAAGATTTTTAAGATAGATTCGTATGACCAGAATATGTATTCTTTGGTTTAGATTGGTTTGGTTTATTTTGTTTTACGGCACACCAACCCCAATGGGCTACTCAATGCCGACAAAAATTCTTTATTGCTGGTAATATTTTGTTTTGTCAAAAATCTGTTTCTGGTAATATTTTTCCTTCAAAATTGTATTGCTTCTTGTCGACATAGTAATTGCTAGTTCAATCCCTAGACCAGGCAGTTTGTTTCAAAAAAGTATTGCTGGTTATAGTGAACTATTTGCCCATAGCTGGGACCCTAACAGTTGCTACCACCCCGGGTCAGCGTGGACCTGGGAACACCAGCAATTAAGGGATGGTTTCACACTTCTCAAAACTTCCTAAACAGAGGCCTTGCAGCTAGACATAGTTTATCGTCTTACCCAGGACGTGGGTGTAGTTTAATGTCTTCCCCAGGACGACGAGGAAGTCCGGATGGTTTAGTTTGGAAACGTTGTGAACGAAAACAAGCCAAGAAAACGTCCGAATAGTACAAACTGAAATTAAGAAGAAAATTCTTAGGTTTTATTTAATAAAGTTCGCAAAACACGCAAATAGGTATATTGGCAACTCGGAGATGCAAAAAAAAAATAAATAAATAAAAAAGCCATAAAGTGCGTCCTTTAAGTAAAAGGTAAATGTTCAGGACCTAATATGCAAAGAAAACTGTATGCCGATGTTTCTAAAATCTACGATAAGAACTTCTGTCGGTCACTTAGCATTTATTAAGGTCTAAATTGCTCTCTCGAGTAGGTTGTACACAATGATACTTACCGGGCGCAGCGATCCGTCCCTGCGCTGATTGCATTATATTTTTAAACTTATTGTTTTAATTGAATTTTATTAATAGATTTTGTATGATATTTTGTAATTTTTATATGGTATTGGGGAAATTATTAGTTATTTTTTATTCATTTCTAAAATGCTAATTATTTAAGGTAAATATTTGGTGGTGTCTGCAAAAAAACCTTATTTCATTCCTTTGATTTAATAAGTTTTTATTTTTTAGAAACTTGGTAATGTGTAGTTTTTCCTGTAGGCACAGCTATGACTAGCTTGGACCAGCTCTGATCAGCTATGACCAACTAAGACTAGCTTAGAACAGCTCTGACCATCTTGGATCAGCTATGACTAGCTTAGACCAGTTCTGATCAGCTTGGACAAGCTATGACCAGCTAAGTCTAGCGGCTGGAGTAAATACACAAAAAAACGACATTGTGTCACAACCTGACACAGTGGGGGGGGGGTCAAGTAAATATAAATTATGGGATTATAAGGGATCAATGTTATTAGGGGCTCTCCCGGTGAGGGGGTTCTGCTCCCGGATTCTCCCGGGGGGATTGACAGTGGAGGAGAAGGTTTTTTTTACCGTCGGAGTAGATGCTGTGGTTGTAGTATCTGTCCCGTGCCGGAGGCCTTCTCTCCTCCCTTGCGTACCCCCCCCACCACCACCACTGTTGCGTAGCATCTGTTACATAGTGGTGGTATGAATGGCTATGACTAGCTCAGACAACCTATGACCAACTTAGATAAGCTATGACCAGCTTAGACAAGCTAAGACCAGCGGCCCGAGCTTGGACAAGCTTTGACTAGCTAAGACCAGCGGCTTGAGTGAAGACACACGGGTCTCCAAGTTAAAACATGACCTTGTGTCACAACCTCACTCAGTGGTGGTTGGGTGGGGGAGTTAAATAAGTAAATCTCGGGATCTATGTTATTAGTCATCGTTGTTAATCTTTTATTGTGCTTAATAAGATCTACGGTAAGAACGAATATTCTATCATCCACATAAGTTTTATTAAAGTCTAATGTCATAATAGATCTATTTTATTATGAGTTATTGATGTATATGTCTTATTGTGTCTAATAAGATCTACGGTAAGAACGAATATTCTATCATTCACATAAGTTTTATTTCAGTCTATTGTCATAATAGTTCTATTTTATTAGTAGTTATTCTTGGTAATCTCATAATAAGATCTACGGTAGGAACGAATCTTCTATCCGTCACATAACTTCTATTACATTACTATTGCTTATATACATTGCTTATTGAACCGAATTTAGAAATTAAACTTTATTATAGATATGTACAGTTCAGAATAGAACGGTACAGATTCTCAAGTATGTGACACCAAGTGAGGAGCAAAGTCACTACAGAGTAGAAATGGCCCGCGTAACTAACGTTCGAAACTTTACTCAATAGAATGAAATAGATAGATGGTGAACTTTTAATAGACAGACAAATAGAGAGATGAGACTTATGAATCGGCTTAGATAGATAGATAGATAGATAGAAATAGAGAATTATTATTAGATAGAAATAGAGAATTATTATTAGATAGATAGAGAGAGATAGATAGAAAGAGAGAATTATTATTAGATAGATAGATAGATAGATAGAAATAGAGAATTATTATTAGATAGATAGATAGAAATAGAGAATTATTATTAGATAAAAATAGAGAATTATTATTAGATAGATAGAGAGAGATAGATAGAAAGAAAGAATTATTATTAGATAGATAGATAGATAGATAGATAGATAGATAGATAGATAGAAAGAGAGAATTATTATTAGATAGATAGAGATATAGAAATAGAGAATTATTAATAGATAGATAGATAGATAGATAGATAGATAGATTATTATTAGATAGATGAGATAGAAATAGAGAATTATTATTAGATAGATAGATATATAGATAGATAATTATAGATAGATAGATAGATAGATAGATAGATAGAAATAGAGAATTATTATTAGATAGATAGATAGATGAAAGAAATAGAGAATTATTATTAGATCGATAGAGAGATAGATAGATAGATAGAAATAGAGAATTATTATTAGATAGATAGAGAGAGATAGATAGAAAGAGAGAATTATTATTAGATAGATAGATAGATAGATAGATAGATAGATAGATAGATAGATAGATAGAATTATTATTAGATAGATAGAAATAGAGAATTATTATTAGATAGAAATAGAGAATTATTATTAGATAGATGAGAGATAGATAGAAAGAGAGAATTATTATTAGATAGATAGATAGATAGATAGATAGATAGATAGATAGATAGATAGATAGAATTATTATTAGATAGATAGATAGATAGATAGATAGATAGATAGATAGATAGATAGATAGATAGATACAGAGAATTATTACTAGATAGATAGATAGATAGATAGATAGATAGATAGATAGATAGATAGATAGATAGATAGAATTACAAAAAGAATTGTACATGGGCAAGGAAGGTATGTAGGTCTTTCTATATTCATGCTGGTATGTAAGTATGAATGTTTGGTAATTAGATAAAGATGGAATGTGTTTCTCTCCGGAATATATTTAGATTTAGCAGAGTCACAAATATCTCCACTGAATGGAGACCACGTGACACGTACGCACATGCAAAAACAAAAACAAAAAAAAAAACAAAAAACAAAAAAACAAAAAAAACACCGCATACAGTGATTTCCAAAGCGTAACCAAGTTAAAACGCACAAGCCCATGCGGCACCCAGTGAAGTTATTTACCATTCCTTACGCTCAGTAAATTTGACACAAGGTAAAATAATAACGTGGTGGCAGAAATTGTCCAGTTCTTTCTGTATTTGACAGGTATCAGAGATTAAACCTAGCCGTCGCCTTTAATCTAGGACACCTAGTGAGGATCGAATTACTTACTGAGCTATCAGGATCTACAAGACCAGCTCGTTAACCAACACTCAACAAAGAAACCCCTAAATACATTGACGAAGCTTATTGAAAAAAAATGGGGCTACAGGACTCATTACACTAATCACTCTCAAGAGATCGTTATCTTCCTGATATATATGTGTGTGTGTTTGTATGTATATATGTGTATGTATGTATATATGTGTGTGTATGTATATATATGTGTATGTATATATGTGTATGTGTATGTATATATGTGGGTGTATGTATATATGTGTGTATGTATATATATATGTGTGTGTATGTATATATGTGTGTGTATGTATATATATGTGTGTGTATGTATATATAAATGTGTGTATGTATGTATATATATATGTATGTGTATATATATATATATATGTGTGTGTGTATATATATATATATATATATATATATATATATATATATATATGTATGTGGGCGTATGTGTATGTGTGTGTGTGTATATATATATATATATATATATATATATATATCTGGGAGAATAGATTATTATATAGGGTGCGATGGGTAAATTGTCACCATTTTATATTTGTAATTTCACGCATGCGCGTTGTTTTTTTTTATTTTATTTTGTCGACTACACAGTATAGTAAGGTCAGAAAAAGAGAACCATGACGCAATTCACTCTGCCAGAAATTTGTTATACTGCTTGGCATTTGCATTGGAAACTCGAATACGGACATTTCAGTGTGCTTGGCGTCAATCTGAGCACAGTGCAGAGGATTCGGAAAGAGTTGGATAGATTTACTGATGAGGTACGGCAGCTCGGAATATTCACTCTGATTGTTCTGAGAAAAGAACTCCTAAATTTGTTGATGAGGGCCTCAGACTCAACACAGTGCCTTGAGGAAGTAGTGCTGCCCTGGGTCAAGAAGATGACTGCTGGAAGACCCTATGTCTGGCAACAGGACTCTGCGCCACGCCACACAAGTAGGAGAATCAAGTCGTAGCTGTCAGACAATTTCTGCAACCGCTATTATATTAAGCCACATAATTCCCCAGACTGCAACCCCTTTGATTCTTATGTGTGGGGCACAGTTGAGTGAGGGACCAATAAAACTCCTTGTAATACCCAAGATGAACTGAAGGCAAGAATTATGGCAGAATTCATCAACTTAAACAAGGAGACCGTTCAGAAGAATTATAGGAGATTCCGAAGTCGTCTGGAAAATCTAGTTTGAAGCCAATGGCGATTTATTGAATAAATTTACTCATTAGTATTTCAAGGTATTCTTGTGTAATTTTGGTAAATATATCTGATAAAATAAGATGTTAGTGTTATTTTCATTTTTGCGTAATTTAGACAACAATTTATCCATCGGATCCTGTGTATCAGAACAATGTTGGGTAAACTGAAGACAAATTGGAAAAAATTCTAGGAGACGCGTTTCGTCTGACGAAGTCCTAAATGATGAATTGGTCGACTCTTTAATATATATATATATATATATATATATATATATATATATATATATATATATATATCCAAAAGACGTATGAGAAGTTTGAAAATGTTTTTGTGACGCGTTTTATCTTCGTGCTGGGTCTGTTTGCGTACGTTATTGTAGCTACGCATGCGCACGAACGAGAGGCATTAAGAGTTTCAAAATTTTAAAATAATTTTTTTTTTCAGATTTTGAAACTCGCAGCTTCTCTTGTTTGTGCGCATCCGTAGTCACAAACAAACGCCGTCCGATGAAACGCGTCACTTTTTCGAAATATTCATACATATTTTCTTTCAAAACTGTTCTTTATATATAAATATTTATGTATCGTTATCCCCCCCAACATATATATATATATATATATATATATATATATATATATAGTGAGAGAGAGAGAGAAGAGAGACAGACAGACAGAGGGTTGGGTTATGCTGTAGCATCTCTACGGACGATAATGAGTATGTCCCCATTCACATAAGTACAGTAGTAAATACTGTATGTTGATCTAGAGTTGAAAATTCACCTCCAGCTGTGCTGTTCAAACTCTCTGCCTCCGAGCTGAGAGGATTCCCAGACGAGGCTATGTTGAAGGGCAGAGTCTCGTCTCGGGAAACTGCTATCCGACTCCATTTTAAACGAGGAAATTTTGGACGAGCCTACGAGCTCGGATACCCCACATTAAATTCGGCCTTCTGCCACATCTGACCGCGTGGGGCGGTTGGTAGATATCGTAGAGTTGGAGATTCATTGTGGAATTCAATTGACTTACTTCGAGCAGTTGACTACTTCTTCTACGCGCTGCTGGCGAATCTTATATATGATGTTCTTGTCCTAAGTATTATCGTTCATTACCTACATTTTTTTGATTATTTTATTCAGTAACTGTTGTGGTGTCCTCCCTCTAATGAGTCTATTGTGGACTTTTCCACTTACTATAAAATTAGTAGGAAAGTAAGCCTCGGGGGAACAGTAGTATAGATTGTGGGAACGGTGATATAAAATGTTCATTACTGTCAAACACTCCGCCTCGGCGGAGAGGAACGCGGACGAAGCTTTGCCGAAGGGTAAAGTTTCGTACGGGGATGTAGACAGGCCCTGAACCTGTCTAGGCGGGTTCAAAGGGTATATTTTTTGCCGAGCCTACGGGCTCGGAGAACCCACAATAAACCGGCCACATACGACCCAAAATAAATATAACAGTAGTATAGATTGTTCTGCCGAAGCTGTGACAGTTTGCAGCTGCTGTCGAACTGTCTGCTTCTGGGCAGAGAGGAACCTGGATGAGGCTGTGGCGAAGGGCAGAGTCTCGTCCGGGGAGGTAGACAGAGCCGTTTATGCGGGTTCTACGGGGATATTTTGGCCGAGCCTACAGGCTCGGATGACCCACGTTAAACTCGGCCTTGTGCCACATCTACCCTCATGGGGGCGGGGGCTACTAATATCAACAGTAGTATAGATTGAACGCGTGTTAATCGACACACATTCCCAAGAGGTGTAATACTCTTCTGTTATATTTACTGTTCAATCCACGATTTATCTGCAACCGCTTTTTTTGTTATTTCCTAACTATTTACTTGGTTACAACAATAATCTTCCCTAGGTTGCAACAGGTTTTAAGCCCGAATCTTAAAATCCTGAATGTATGAAAACCCCCCGAAAGATCAAAATCCAGAAAATTTAAAATCCTGAAGGATCAAAATCCGGATAAAAATGGGGAATAACTTTATTTCTAAACATTTACAAGCTACCGTTTCAAAAGGGTTTGTATATTTGATATATTTAAAATTCATTAAAAAATATAAAACTAGAATATATGAATAATTTATAATGAAAGATATCAAGAGTCCTAAGATAGTCCATAAGATCGGGCCGGTTTTCACGATCGTTAACTATATTTTTAAGCCTTTCATCCCGATTTTTTTCCTTTTTGGACAAGATTCTCCTCGGAGAATGCGTTAACATTAATTTTATACGTGCTCTTTTTGAAACTCTGCGATAAACACCGACATGAGCATTGTCGACTAAATTTTCCCATCGCCTAGTCGCCATATTTTAGTTTTATATTTTTTAATGAATTTTAAATGTTTCACGTGTATAAACACTATTTAAACGCAATTTTGTAAATATTTAAAAATAAAGGTATTTCCATTTTCTTTTTTTTTTTTTTCAATTTTTCCCAAAGACTTTTTTTCGCGTTTATGATTCAGAATTATGATCGGCATACATACAAATATTTTGGGTTTTTTTTTCGCGTTTATGATTCAGGATAATGATCGGCATACATACAATTATGGGTTATCTTAGGGATAAAGCGTATGTAAGTATACAAGTGGACACTGAAGTCAACACCCAGAGGCGACAGTCCCTTCCATGCTCGAACGCAATCGTCAGGCCATTGATTTTGTTCAACGATGAAACAAGCTGTCGCCTCTGGCTGTTGACTTCAATATCTATCTATATATATATATATATATATATATATATATACCTAAACCTAAAGAGCCAGATAAACCTACCAAGTTTTCACATACTGGCCAGTATTCCCTGACGATCCGCCTTGGTAGGTTTGTCTGGCTCTTTAGGTTTAATTAGGTTTGCTCTACTTAGCGTATTGAGCACTTTACTTAGTTATTTTACTTAGTCGTATAGGGGTTTTTTTGTCTTTGGACTCTGAACTTGGATGCTAGACGATTGTCTTCGGCTGGCGTACATGTTTTCTGTTCTTTCTTTTTTTGTACCTTTTTTTCCCTTGGGTATTGGTCTGTTTATTTACATATCAAGGCACCCAAAATTTTCCGGACGAGTATAATTTCTTATATTTATGCTCTACTTTTGTATCGAGCACTATTTTTAAAAAATAATAACAAAGATACTAAAGAACTTTGGGTTATTTACCTAGCGAGTTCTTTCCTATTTTCTATATATGCTTCATATATATATATATATATATATATATATATATATATATATATATATATATATATATATAACGAAGGACAGCTCGTGTCGCTATTCAAGTTTCACACTCACACGAATTTTGACCAGAGGGTATTTCTGTCGGGGAAAAAAAAACAAGAAA